GCCGAGCGCAGGACACGCTCAGTTTGCAACATTTCACGGGCTCGGGTCGCTTATTCCCGCTTGGCTTGCTCAAACCATCCTTCGCAAGCCTTGGTATGCTAGATTGCCATGAGGAGGGCCGCGTCCGCCTTGGTGTGAGCCGCGCTGGCGGTGGACTTCGCAGCCTTGACGATCGGTGGCCTGCCCTGGCGCTCCTTCGGGTCGATGCGAGCATCCCGAGGCCTCGAGAAGTGCTTGACCTCTGCGTCCACGTCCACCTGCTGAGTGCCAAACGCATCCACCAAGTCAAATTTCTATTGGACGAACGGCGGGCCCTAAACCGCCTGGAAAAGCGAGCTTGCTAGCAAGCTGGCCTTTCCGGGCCTGGTGGCGGCCTTGCTGGCGAGCTCGCTAGCAAGGAATCGCACTCGTTCCAGGTCCATGGTGGAGTTTGGGGGCCCCTACATCGGCCCAATGAAAGTTCCTTGAATTTTCGTCACGTCGCTCGCTAGCGGAAGCCGACGGAATGAAAACGAGGCGGAAGACGGCGGAAGGCCGTTGGAAGGCATGCGGAAGACAGAGGAAGTAAATGACGCCCTGTCCGAACCCCCTTACCCCCGTAGAAGCCGAGCAATGTAGTCTTCAGCCGTGGGCTGGGCGGGATCACGCCTAACTTACTCCTTTTGAATATAATAGCGTTGGTGCAGCCAGACTAAAACCCACCCATTAAAAATAGGGTAGACAAATATCCTGGGTCGTCCACGGATCCCGCCATGCTGGGATCGTTTCGAAGTAGGATGGGGCTCCAGAGTTGCAGCGTTCCTGACATGTCAGGGTCGTCTTGAGATCATATTGAGATCGTATTTCGGTCACGTTTGGATCGTGCAGCCGTCGCGTGTTCATTCTGGGGCCGCCCTGGGCGCGCGTGGATCCATCTTGTTGCCATCGGGCCATCTCGGCGTCACTCGTGGCTCATGTGTTCGGTCATCTTCGAGTCGGCATGGGACGGTCCAGAATCCATGGCGGGATCGTGTTGGGGTGGCGTCATCCCAGGTCGTCTGGGCGTTACCGTCTGTGGCCTCAGGCCCTCTTGGAACCATTTTGCGGCCATGGGGACGTCTTGGAATCTCGCGCGCACAAGCGCTGAGCACGCGCGCGCGACAACTCATGTCGCCGATGGGTGTGCACACATGTCACAGTTCACATGTTTAGGCATGGCCCATCCTGGATCCCGCCGCAACTGCCACACTCAAGTCTTACAGGAGAGCGGCTTGCCCGAGCCCATGCGATCAGGGCTCAGTCGTCGCCTCTTCTGCCACCTGGGCGCCATAGGCCTGGCTCGCTGGTGGTGGGCGCCGCCCGCTGCGCCTCAGCCTCCGCCGCAGGCGGAGCCGCGCTCGGCGGGCGCCCGCGGGGCATTCCTGGGCGAGGACGCGGACGAGGCCACTTTCGTGCCCCTGTCCGAGTGCCTCGCCGCGGCGCTGGAGGCGAAGGGCGCGGGCTTGATCTGCCCGGACGACTACGACGAGCCGAACGCGCCGGGGCCCGACGTGGCGGAGGTGGTCCGCCTGGCCGGGCAGGGAACTAGGTTACCCTCCCAGCCTCGCGGGCGGGCACTTGTACCGCTTCAGGCGCCTCCCGACGGCCGCGGAGGCCTGGGGCGCCGTGGGGCGAGCGGTGGCAGCGGGCTATCCTCCTCCGATTTGCTGGTGCTGGGCAGCGGTGGGAGCGCTGATGCTGGACTTGGCCCTTGCACCATCCTCGGGGTGGCCGCCGGGCAGCACGCGCTGGCCAACCCAGCAGGCGTTGCCGCGCCGGCTCCAGCGGCTGCCGGTTCGCTGGTCGCGGCGCCGGCCGCGGCGGCTCCCGCCGCCACCGGCGCGGCAGGTGGAGGCCTCGCTGGCCTCGTCGCGGCCCTGGGCGGCCCCGCCGCCAGCACGGGGGCGGCGGTTGCAGCCGGCGCGCCAGCGGCCGCGGAGGCTCTGGCAGCTCCCGCCGCGGCGCCGCCCGCGGTTGCGCCCGCCGCGGGCGCGGCGCCTGCCGCCGCTGGGGCGGCGGCCGCTGCCGTGCCGGCTGCGCCGGCCGTGGTCGGTGCGGGGCCAGCCGCCCTCAACGCGCCCGGCCTGCACGTGCTGGCGGCCACGCACGACGGACGAGGGCACGTGGGCTGACTTCCCCGTCCGGGGGCCGCGGACAACGCACTGGGTGCTCCAGTGCATCCAGCGTCACGGCGGCTCCCCGCTGGCGCGCCACTCGCGCTGGCGGTCCAAGATGGGGCTCGATCCAGATGATGCTGGAGTCGAAGTCCACCTGCCCTCTTGGAGACCATGATCTCGCGCGGTCAGCTGAACGCTGGTGATCTGGCGAGCGGGGAGCTCATCGCGAGGACACTCCAGGTGCAAGGGGAGGAGTACCGTGCTCGCAGCAGCCCGACCGAGCCGGAGAACATCGATCGCGATCTCATGATGTGGACGGCTGAGGTGCGGGGAGACGTTTGTGTGGCTCCCGCTTTGCAGCAGCACGCGTCGGCCGAGCTGGCGCGCGAGGTGGCGGTGCAGAAGGAGCGCAGGAAGTCTCGCGAGGAGCGGCAGCTGGCAGCAGGCGCGTCTGGCAGCAACGACAAGGACAAGGACAAGAAGGGCAAGAAAGGCAAAAAGGGCGAGGGGTGAGTGCACGCCAGGTGGAGGCTCGGGGCCCGGCCTCCACCCATGATAGCTTTGAAGGGCTGCAGGGTCCACCCGGCCTCCTGAAGGTCAGCGGCGACAAGCGACGAGCATCGTCGGGGCGTTCCTGATGGGCGCCATCCTGACATCCTTCCACTTCCTGTCCTTGCAGCCCTTGCTGCCCTACCTGTTGCCACCTCTGCGTCGCGAGCCGTGCGTCGTCGGGTGCTCCGCGGTGAACATGACAAGAACCTCGCTCGCGATGCCGCCGCCGCTCTCAACAAGACTTACGGATGTACCTCTCGCGGCAGTGAACTCTCGAATGCCGGGCAGCGTGCAGCCGTAAATAATATCACTGCAACTTGCCGCGCGGTCGGGGCCCCGCCTGTGGACCCTTCTGAGCAGCATTCATTTTCAAAGAGAGTGCTGTCGGCGCTTCTTGACGGTTCCGCCCTCTACTCGTCAGATGGGGCCGCGGTGGCACCCTTCGGGCGGGACCTGGTCTCGCGGCCTTCTGAGCAGGCGGATCCGGTCCCACTCGAGTCGCTTGCTTCTGGGCCTGTTTTGAAACAGCTGGAAGACTGGCAGCGCCTTTTGCTTCGCCCGGAGTCGGAGGCACGGGCCTTGCAAAAATGAGTTTGTCCGCGGGGGCCTCACGTGGACCCCGTCCTCAAGAATTCGCCGCGGTGGTATGCTGAGTTTTTAGCAGATATGTCTTCTCGGGTGATGTTGTTCTGGGGGCGCGCCATGGGGTGGCAAGGCAATCTGGGTTAATTTTTGGTTAGGGAGAAAAGCGGCGCGCAGCGCATCATTTTCGATGCCAGAGTTGCGAATTGCAGGTTCGTCGATCCCCCTTCGATGCGTCTCTCGCCCCCCTCCGCCTTCGCCTCTCTTGAAGCTGAGGGGGGCCGCTTACATGTAGCGAGCGGGGATTTGGATGTGGCTTTTCACCATGCGCAGCTGCCTAGAGGTATGGAGCCCATGTTTAGCTTGCCCTGCATATACTCCTCGCACTTGCAGAAGTTTCACATTCCTGGAGTCCCTGACGGGGCCGGCGTAACTACGTTACCATGCGCGCGGGCGCTACCGATGGGCTTCTCAAGGGCCCCCCACTTGCGTCAAAACGTCTTGGAAAGGGGCTTTGGGCAAGGGGGCATCAGGAGGGGCGAGCCGGTGTTAGACGGCAGGCCTGGAGTGGTTCTTAGACTTCCTGGGGGCACCGCGTCGGCTGCATACGTGGACAACTTCCCCACCTTGGGGCCTGACCCGGGGGCCGTGGCTAGTCGCTTCAACGTCGTTTTCAAGCAGCTGCGGGGTCTGGGCCTCGTCGTCCACGAGCTTGAGGGGGCCGGCAGGGGCCGTGAATTCTCGGGGGTGTCTCTCAGAGCCGGTCGGTATCTCTCGGTCCAGGGCCGCAATTTTGGAGGCGTCGGCATGCCTTGGATGAGTGGCTGTCTAGATCGTATTGCGCGTCATTGTTGGGCATTCACTTGGGCGAGTTTGGTGCGCCGTGAATGTCTGTCCTTGTTGCGTGCCGCGTGCGTGTTCATCCAGGCAGCTGGCCCCTCGCCGTGCCGTCTCTGGGCCTCATTTAGACAGGGGCTCGAGAGCGTCCGCAACCTGCTACCCTTGCTGTGTGTGTGTTGATCTCCTGGCAGATTGGCATCCTTACGTGGCGCGCACTGACGCGTCGCCGTTCGGATTGGGGGTCGTCCGCCGCAAGATGAGCCAGGTCCGGGTCCAGGAGCTAGGCCGTCAGAAGGAGAGGTTCCGTTTCAAGATCGAGGGTGGCGGTCGGGCCCGGCAGCGGGCCTTGGAGGGGGCGGGGATGGACAAGGGGGCCGCGATGATTTCGGGCCGTGGACGGGGAGGGCCCTGATTCGAACACGGGGGAGTTCTCGGAGGCACCTAGGCAACTTCTGCGCCCAGGGTGCTGGAGCTACGCATCGGCCACGCATGTCGAGACGGGGCCCAACATCTTGTCTCTTGAGGGTGAGGCCTTGGTCATGGGCATCAAGAGCGCCCAGAGAAGTTGCTAGGCCCACGGCTGCCGCATCTTGACCCTTGCGGACAACCTGCCTCTGGTGTTGGCTGCGGGCAAGGGGCGAGCCAGATCGATCACCTCCGCCAGTGCCATTGCCGTGTATGTGCTCTGTCGCTTCCTACAGACTCGAGACTCGCCGCGCGGCGGTATCCGTCGGAGCTCAACGCGGCCGACCCGGTCTCCAGAGGCGAGCTCGGCTGGTTCTCGGGGGCGCGTTCATGCGATGTGCGGGGTCCGCATGGCGACCGCGCGGGCGCTGCTGCTGCTGCCGCTGGTGGCGGCCTCCTGCCCCTTGCTGGCGCCGGGCGCGCGAGGGGCTCGGACGCCCCCGGCGCTGGCAGCGTCTGCCCTGAAGCGCGAGCGGGCTCGGGCGGCCGCCCAGGTGGCCCGGGCCGCGCTTCGCTTCAGAGGGCTGTCGACCCTGGAGAACGCCGCGATCCTGCCTTCGACGGCCAAGAACTACCAGATGTCCCTCGAGGCCCTCGCGGTCTTCTGCTCGGCGCGCCGCCGGGACTGGGGCTCGATGGCGGAGCTCGGCGCGCTGCTGGTGTACTTCGACCAGATGTACCTCCTGGGCGAGAACGGCAACACGGGGTCACAGCTTCTGGCGGCTCTCAGCCTCGTCATGCTTGTCTTGTGCAAGGCGGTGCCGCGGGTGCTGCCGAGAGCCAAGCGGCGTGCCATCGCATGGGCCCGTCGGGCCCCGGCCCACACGCGGTTGCCACTGCCGAGGTGCGCCTGTTTTGCGATCGCGGGGGGCCTGTTGGCCAGCCGGGGCCAGGCGCGGACGGCCATCTGTGTGGTCATGGGCTTCCTGTGCTTCCTCCGCCCCGGCGAAGCTCTGCGCCTCCGGGGCCGCAGCCTGGTCCAGCCGGCGGCGGCAGCGGGCATGGTGCACGACAAGTGGGCGCTCCTGCTGCACGACGTTGTCGATCGGGTCCCGGTCCCGGGCAATGTTGGCCTCTTCGAGGAGTCGGTGATTATCGACAATGCGAGCTGGCTCTTCCCGGTCCTGGAGGCCCTGAAGCTGGCCGCGCCAGCGGAAGCTTCTCTCTGGGATTTCGACCCCAGCGAGTGCAAGAGGGCCTTCGGCGAGGCGGCCAAGCACTTGTCGCTCAGCCGCATCTGCCCTCACCTGTACTCGCTGCGCCGCGGGGTGGCCTCAGAGGACATCACTCGGGGACTTCACGCACCAGAGCAGGTGCAGCGCAAGGGCAGGTGGGGCCATAGCAGCAGCATGAAGCGGAACGCGAAGGAGTCGAAGCTGCCCGCCGAGCTCCACTGGGCGCCAGCCGCCACGCTGTCGCTCGGCAAGCTGGTCGAGGCAAACTTCAGGGGCGCGATCGAGGGCGCCCTGCCCGGCGGGCCGCGCCCGCTGCGATCCCAGGTGGCCGCCGCCCTGGCTGGCCCGGCGGGCGCCTGGCCCAGCCTGGCGGCGGCTGCAGCGGGTCGCGGCTGGAAGCGGCGCCGCCGTTGATAGCGGCCCCGGGCGCTGCGCGGGCCCGCGGGCCGGCCGCCTTCCGCGGGGCTGCGGCGAGGGCTGGCTGCGCAAGCGGTTCGTCTTTGTCGAGCTGTTATGTGGCAAGGGTTGCATCGCGGCCGCGCTGAAGCCAGAGGGCTTCGCGGCGATCGGCTTCGACATCAGCCGCGGGGCCCGCGAGAACCATTTGGTGCGTGAGTTTTTTGGGGTTCTCCATGGCTGGGTCACCGCCGGCTGCATTGCCGGCATCTGGCTCGGGGCGCCATGCGCTACCTGGAGTCGGACTCTGCGACGGCCTCTGCGCTCGCGGCGGCGCCCCGCGGGGCTGCCGGGGCTCTCCCGCAGCGAGCAGGCGCGGTTGGACGTCGGCATATCGACTTTCAAATTCGCGCGCAAGGTCATCCGCCTGGCCACGAGGCGGAGGGTCCTACCCCGAGAATCTTGCAGGCTCCCTGATGCGGCGCGCTTGCGGGCGCGGTCCGCCCAGAAGGTCCAGCTCCACATGTGCCAGTGCGGGGCGCCGTGGCGGAAGGCGACCAGCGTCGCCGCCTGGCACTCGCCCCCGCTGCTGAATCTCAGTCTTCGCTGCTCTGGTCGATCAGGTATCTGCTCCATGACGCGAAAACCGCATGCGATATTGTCCGGTCGCGCCCCCCAGGGTCCTCATTCCACCCGTCTGGCTGCTGAGTACCCCAAAGGTTCCGCTCAGAAGTTTAGTCGTGCTATGCAGCGATCGCTCGAATATATGCGTGCTCGGAGGTTCGCTAAATATGCTATTGATGTATCATTGGGTTCCCGCAGTATTCGTTCGGCCTCCTTATCAAAGTGTTGAGACCGGTCAGTTCACCACGCGGGCATGGGCGTGTGCTCTCGGCTTGGCGCTCCTCGGCATCGTTGTCTCGAAGTCACTTGCCTGGTCAGCCCCTCGCGCGTAATGAACGTGGCGGGAAGGAAAGTTAGGCGAGTTGTCACATTTCACATGTTTAGGAATAGCCCATCCTGGATCCCGCCGCAACTGCCACGCTCAAGGCTCCCCTCCCCCCTCCTTCTCTCGCGTGCCTCTTTGGGTGTGTGTCTGTGCTGTGCCTTTTTGTGTGTGTGTGTGTGTCTTGTGCTGTGTCTTCCTTTCATGTCCCCTCGCATTGAATTTTGCGTGACTCTAGAACTTGTTCGAGTCGAGTCGCGCAAATTTTGTGTTACCTGTCATCTGTGTTATTGCTCAGCAGTGTGTGAACTCAGAGTTCTTTAAAGCAGGGTGTGTGCTCTCGGCTTGGCGTTCCTCGGCATCGTTGTCTCGAAGTCACTTGCCTGGTCAGCCCCTCACACAAAATGAGCCTGGTGGGAGGGAAAAGGTAGGCGAGCTATATTTATTGTCGCGAGTTTCCAAGGAAACTTTTGTTGGAACCAAGTAGTGCTGGGGCGGGGCTCCAAGGCAATGGCGGCAAGGCGGCCTGCCCAGAAACAGTTCGACATGCCGGGCCCTTGCGCCAGTGCCTTGGCTTTTTCTGAGGTTGGTCGACGGGTTTGTCCCCTGAACATGCCACCCGAAGATGATGGTGCATTGGGCCCAGTGGGTTTAGGGCTGTGCAAGGGCTTGTCGCACTGGAGCAAATGGTTCGAAATCTTATTGTTCTTGCCGCAGCCGCAGTTCCAGCATTGTGCCGCGCTCCATTGTTTCCAGCCAAACAACCTCGATCGCTGGCGTGACTGTCGGTCCTTGCGATGGAGTGCCAACCATTTTTGCCATGCCTCGACGGTTCTGCGCCTCTTGCACCGCAATTAGAACTCAACAGGCATGCACACGTTTGGGTGCACAGGGTTCGAATCAAGCGCGCAAGTGGACTTCATCGTTCATACATTACGAGGGCCTTGTGGCCCTCAGTCTGTGTTCTAGGTACCCAGTACCATACTTCCAGACTTGAGCAAAACGCTTGAGCCAAAATGGCTACGGATGAGGAAGGAGGGTGACAGGGGCGGTGAGAGGGAGGAGCAATTGGAGGACGTGCAACAGTAAACGGCGCTTTGGGGCAGTGTCGGAGTGTCTCTGAACCCTTGCGTAATAGAAATGAATGGAACCAGGGCCATATCATTGCATACTTACGAGCCTGGCCATGCCTAGGTGTCCAGGCAGGGCACTTCGTGTCGTGCCTGGAGGGCCGTCAAGCTGGGGGTGCACGCGCTGCGTGGAGGAATAGGAGGAGGAAGGAGGGGAGGAGGAGGAGGAGGAGGAAGAGGAGGAGGAGGAGGAGGAGGAGGAGGAGGAGAGACGCACTGACCGACAGCGTGCGTGTGCAGGAGGAAGAGGAAGAGGAGAGAAGAAAAGGTCAATGAGGAGGCACACTAGAGAAGAACCGGAGGAAGAGAACACGAGGAGGAGGAGGAGGAGGAGGAAGAGGAGGAGGAGCAAGACCTCCATGCGCCCTCGAAATCCCCCTCCGAGAGGTCGTCTCGCACTCCTCGGCGACGACCGACCGACGGGGACCGACCGACCGACTTAGACGACGACGACGACGACGACGACTTAGACGACGACGACGACGACGACGACGACGACGACGACGACGACGACGACGCCGACGACGACGACGACGACGACGACGACGACGACGACGACGACGACGACGACGACGGTACAGCCCGCGGGGCCGTCTCGCGAGAGCTTCCTCTCCCAGCGGCCTGCGCCGGTTGCCTCTCTCAGGTCGTGACCCTCCGGAGCGGCGGGTCCAGACCGCAGGCCGTTCCCTCCCCCCTCCGCACTCCCCCGCTGCTCTGTCTTTGTCGTCGTCGATCGATCGAGGTTCGAAGATGTTGGATGTTCGCGCTTTGAAGAGGTTCGTCCTCGATCGATCGAGGCTCGGCCCCCAGGGGCCGTCGTTTTTGGGCCACTGGGCCCTCAAACATGGATCCTAGGGGGTGGGCTGCCCCCGGGGAAGGGGTCGAGACCTTTGAGGCCTGCGGATAAAACAAAACAATCCGTCGGAAGTCTGGGTTCCTGTTCTGCTCCGCCCTCGCACTGGGCGGCCAACTTGTTCACATGAATACGAGAGCAGATCCTGGCCATACCGATCCTGGGACCGGGACGGGCCTTGGCCAGGATCGGCCCATGTGTATCATTGGCATATTCCTTCTGGGAAGCTAGATAATTACGCATGACGCGGCTGGCCTGGGCGAGAGCAGGAACACATGTGTGGCCGCACGTCTTTTCAGCGCCCGGCCTCCGCTTGGTCGTGCCCGCTGTCACCGCGCATGTGCATCCAGCGCGCGGCGCCCGCATGCTCCATGCGTTCCAGCGTCCTGGTGGTGTTGTGCCCCGTGCGATGCGCCGACTGCACCCCCCACTGGGTACAGGCTCACACAGTTACAGATCGGGCGGTTCGCGCCCCAGAGGGTGCGGCTCCAGGGGGCACACACACACGCACCAGTACGACCACCTGCTGAGTCCGGCGTGCGCCTCAGACGATCCGCGCCCCATTGGGGACCCCCTTCTGTGGCCCCAGGTCCCCAAGTGGCACGGACGCGCACGACACCTGGCCCATGTCGGAGCTCACCCTTCAGACGTTTCTTCCTCCGTGGGGGCCGCAAGCGCGGCTCTAAGGGTCGCACATGGACATACGACTACCGGCCCACTTGGGCTAACATCCGTACGTTCCGTGATCCACAGAGGCGCAGTCGCGCTCCCACTCGGCATGGACGCATACGGTCACCCGCTAGTTGCGACTCACATATCACACGTTTCGCTGCCCACATGGAACCCCAGCTGCGACCTCAGTGGACGCGGACGCATACGTGCACCGCTCACCTGGTATCAGGAGCCCCATCTACGGCCGCAGCGGGCACAGACGCATACGGTATCTTGCCCGTTTGGCCGCACACCTCCTACGTTTCGTGCCCTTGTTCCGTAGAACTGGGCAGCGCGACGTGCGCTGTACGCTGGAATATTGTCGATACCACCATCGCCATCTGCCCACCCCAAAAATCTTGTCGTGTTCTGCTCCTATTGCCTTGTGGTCCAGAGTAGGTGGCTGGGGGGCGTAAGGCCACAGATATCGCTTGCGAGGCTACTGGTGCTACTGAGAGCATCCCCGACGCACGACATGTGCATGACAAGGCTGGGTCATTCGCAAGGCAACTGTTGTTACAAATGTTGGACCATGGTGACTGGAGCTCTTATGGGCCTCTCTGGGATGGTGCTGTGGCCATCTTGGGGCCGTGTCGGGCCATTATTGGAGCTTCGTGGGGTCATCTTGTGGCTTCGGGGCCGTCTTGGGGACCTCTGGGGGCCATCGTACTGCTCGAACTATCTTAGGGTAGCCTTCGAGCCTTATCGGGCCTTCTCCTGAGGTCCTACGGGCATTTTCCTGCCTCATCCTCTTCGCCTTCTGCCTCCTCTTCGTCCTCCGCCTTTTCCTTCTGGTCCTTTGCGATCTCCTCCTCCTCCTCCTCCTCCTGATCTTCTCCGATCCGACGACCACGGGCTGCCGTCCCGAGCAGCGTTGTCGAGCATGCCCCAGACGCGCCGCCGAGAAAGAATATGGACCTGATGGGGTCCTGCGACGGTCTTGCTGTACTGTACACCTTTTCTTCTCCCAGCACACAGGCCCCTTCGTCGAGTAAAAAGGTTTTCCGATCCAAGAATCGGTGAAGCCCAGAGGGGGCCTCGCTGAATACTTCCGCGGATCTCTTCGGCTGATGCGCTCGAGGGGCGAATCGTTTGGCACAGCACGGAGCAGACGTGCGCATTGCGCCTGTGGATCCCAGCAGACAGCCCGGCAACACCCTAACATTGTTTTTTTCAGCCTCTTGCTAGCTCGGGGGGTCTGGGGGGAGCGCGCGCTCAGCAGCCGGTGCGCCTTGCTTGTTGTGTACTGGGTTGGCCAAGTCCCCTCATTTGCCAGATCAGCTGTGTCAAGCCTTCACGATGGCCAACTCGGAAGAAGCGTGACTGCATCGGGCTACCTTACGACCAACTCACCGGAAGCAGTCGCATACTCATGTGCGCTGGCCGGAACATTGGTTGACGATGACCATGTCGAATAGATCGTGGTGTCAGCATTTCGGGGGAATGCGCGGATTTCGGCCAGATCTGCGGCCCCAGAGGAGGTCGGACCACTGTGGCAAGGGGTTGGAGCGCCCTCGGCGCACTCGCGACTAGGGTCGGTTGGGGGGTGTCGGCTGGGGCGGCGCTCCTCAGGCGCTCTGGGAGAAGCGAAATGGCAGCCTGCAGGCGCTTCGCCGTTCCGCCGAACCCCCCTTGAGACGGAGACTCGCAAGCATGTTCTGGGCCGCTCAGGTACCTCGGCGAGGGCAAGCCTCAGGAGGAGAAGGAAGGAGTGGCATGATGCGGAAGAGGAGGAGGGCAATCCGTTTACGCATCCGATGCTTGGTGTCAAGTGAGCGCTTCACTACCAGTAATGTGCACGGCAGTTCAGCTAGCGCTTCAGCTTCACGAATGTGTCGCCGAGCATCCCATCTTGCTGTGTCCGCTCCTCCTCTTTCTCCCCTAAAAAATCCCGTTGCGATTGAACAAATGTTGCCAATCGTTTGCTGACGGCTGCTCAGGATGTCCAGTGCTTCATCCGCGCAGCACCCGTCGTGATCGTCCGCTCAGGTTCTGCATGGTGTTGTGAGCAATCGTGGAGTGAGCGCCCGTCGTGTTGGGGCCGTGTTGCCCCGGGAGTGGGAATTCGCAGTGCTTGACATGATTCGTGGGAAGGCTTGGATCCCAAGATCATCCAGGGAGTACGACCATACGGCTCCTTGCCGTGTTCAGGGGGGAATTCAATCTTCCTCAACGAGAGGGATAGATTTCGATGCGAACGGGCACCGCTGCGAATGAATTCATGTTCGCGTTCAGTTTTCGCCAGTCTTCATCGCAGCCATTCTAGCCTGCAGCATTCTCTTCCCCGTCGTTCTCGCCCTCGCCATCGTCTTGTTCGTCATCGTTCCCTCTCATCCCGCCTACCCCATTCCCTATTCTTGCTCCTCCCCTCCCCCCGTCCCCCCCCCTTCTCCTTTACCCCCGCCCCGCTGGCCTCGGCTCGAGCACCCATCGGAGGCGCGTAAGCCCAGCTCCCGGGACGCCCCGGCGAGCTGGCCCCCTCCAGTGGTGGCGCCGAGGCCCCCTCCTCGCGAGCGCCTCGGCGGCTTTCGGCGGCCCGCGGCGGCCCAGACCTCCTCCGCCCGCTCATCGCTCGCGGCGGGGGGCGGGTGGGAGGGAGGAACCCGAACAGCTGCAACAGTGCTGGCATAACGACGCGAGGCCCAACGCCCAGTCCATGAAGAGGGGATGAGGGAGGGCGAGGAGGAGGGGGCGGGAGAGAGGAGGGGGGGAGGTTGGGAGTGAAGGAGGTCCTCCTTCACTCCCAACCTCAGGATGGAGGTGGGAGGCGGGAGTGCGAAGATGGAAGAAGAGGAGGGAGGAGGGAGGGGAGAGGAGGACGCGTAAGGGGGGGATGAGGAGGAGGAGGCGGCGGAGGAGGAGAAGGAGGAGGAGGAGGAGGAGGAGGAGAGAGGAGGAGGAGGAGGAGGAGGAGGAGGAGGAGGAGGACGACGGCGATGATGTTGTTGGCGGTGATGAGCATCAGCTGTATGTCGTCTACCCCGTAGGCACTTTGGCCCAGGTGTCTCGACGCGCCCTCTGCAAGAAGCAAGCCAGAGCCATCGGGGCCCGATCCCGCCGCCTGCTTGTGCGACGGCTGCCCTGGGGTGTCCGTCCTTGGCGCTCGGTGTCTGCCAGTTGCTGGCGACGAGCTCCAGCACCTCCAACTGCGGCCCGCTGGCTGTGGCCGTCGCCCTCAGGGGGTCCTGGTGAACTGCTGCGGCGGCTTTCGCCTGGGGCTGGGTCGCTCGCCCCGCCCAGCGGCGGCGCGGGCGGTGACGTCCGCGGCCGTCGAGGCCGCCCTGCCGCCTGCGGGCGGGTGAGCGGGGCAGCCCTCGTGCCTGCAAACAGGCGCCGAGGAGCTGCGCCGAGGGTGGCCGCAGCACCTTCCCGCCCGCCGACGACGGGGAGGCGGCGTGAGGTGCCTGGCTGGTGCCGGTTCGGGTCGGGAGCGGGTCGCCGCTCCCGGGCCCGAGGCATTTGCGACCGCGGCGCGGAGCGAAGGACCCTCGGCTGGCAGCGCGGCCCCGCTGAGAGGTGCTCAGCGAGCAGACCAGGAAGATCCGGTCAGCAATGCTTGGTTTCAGAATGCGGAGACGTTGGCGTGCCGTGCCTGGTTGTCAGAATGCGAACAAGGTGCCGTGCCGTGCAGCGCCTGGTTTCTATACTTCGAGAATTTCGAGACACTTGCCGTGCTGTGCCGTGCCGACCATGTGTCTTATCATGCAGCGTTGGTGTTTACGGCCTCTATATATACCGGAGTAGTGTACTGTCGTTTGACAGGGATAGCGCGGGGGCGGCATTGACCCGGGTTGGCGGCCGGCCGAGTGCGGAGGGAGCGTGTATTCATACCAGTGATAAAATTTTCCCCGAAAGTGAAGAAGGGTTTCGAAGAGGAAGCGCGCCACACAAGTTCAGCCCTCAAGGATTAATAGGGTTCAATGCGAGCTACATTTGATGTGTGCAAGTCGATGGACATATTCATGACTCCTGTGCGTTTAGCAGTAGCGGCGATGGTCACACATGCTCTTCGGTTGCAGCCAGTACCAAATCAATCTTCATGTGATGATTGGACAACATGGCTGCGTGAACACATCCATGAGCAAATGCAGGGATCAATGTGTGACCAGAGGGTGGCGGTGCAAGTCTAGCCGAAGCTGCATATTTCTTGGTGGCAGGGAGTTTAATTCGGCACCAAAATGCCCCGCGCATTGCGCCCGAAAATAGGTGTGGAGGAGAAAGGCACCATCATTATTTTAATTAGTCAACTGCAGGCACCAGGGCTGCTTCCAGTCAAGGACATCATTTGATGGGATTTCGTACATACACGACATCGCCGAAACATTGGTTTGCGATCTCACTACGTCGGTGCGCACTTCCCGTGTTGCGTTAGGTTTGTTTCAGCGGTGCTAGCAGTAGAGTTTTTAACAGCAGTTGGGTGGCATGTTTGTTTGATGGCTCCTGCGTAGATGTTCTATCGCAGACTGTTTTGACCACAGGCGTGAAGTTGGCGACGGCAATGAACCATGTATGGATTTACTCATTGCCCATCGTGCTCTGGAGGGCAGCTCATTTGCCGATCAGGTTTCGGTGGTGGCTTTTATCACGGCGTGGGTCGAGCGCATCGGGTAAAAGATAGCCGACGTCGACTGCATGCATGTCCAACCCTGCAAGATGGCCGATCGGGAGCTTAAACATGTGTGTTGCACCCTGCCGCCGCCAGTAAGAGTGCCGATGGGCCACCACGAGGCTCTTTTTCGATTCCCTCTGCGATAGCCCAGAACAGTTTCACACAACCGTGTTAGATTTCTTTAGGCGCTGCTGGTGTACCTTTCTTATCGTGGGATGGCACTGTCGCTAGCCCTCGCCAGGGTTCGTCATGCCTTATTGAGCTGACAAGGGGGTCCTCCCCGACGGGTACTCTTAGCAGTGTCTTTATGAGCACTTAGGGGCATCTCTTTCTTATTCCTCTCTTATGATTCGTGCCCAGCAGGAGGAGGAGGGACAGAGATGGGAGGAGGAGGAGGAGGAGGAGAAAAGGAGGAGGAGGAGGAGGGGGAGGAGGAGGAGGAGGAGGACGAGGAGAAGGAGGAGGAGGAGGAGGTGATGATGATGATGAGGAGGAGGAGGAGGAGGAGGACGATGACGACGGCAACGACGACGATGACGGGGACGAGGAGGAGAACAAGGAAGAGGAAAAGGAGGAGGAGGAGGAGGAGGAGGAGAACACTGGTAAGGAGGAGGAATAGGAGGAGGACATGGAAAAGGAGGAGGAAGAGGAGGAGGAGGAAGAGGAGGAGGAGGAGGAGAAGGAGGAGGAGGAGGAGGAGGAGGAGGACAGGACAAGCAGGACGACGACGACGACGACGACGACGACGACGACGACGACGACGACGACGACGACGACGACGGCGACGGCGATGGCGACGGCGACGGCGACGGCGACGTCGACGACGCCCCAAGACGGCCTGGGGCCTCCTGGGGCCTCCGAGAGATCAAGGGGACCGCTGGAGGCCCCTAGGGGCCGCCGAGCGCCGCCGAGCGCCGCCTCCGAGCGCCGCTGCCGCGAGGCCGCTCGACAGCATTCCGCGCCAGATGCCGGCGCCCCGCCGCGGCGCGGGCCCCGGCGTGCTCCCCGCCGGCGCCGCGGGCGGGCTGGTGGTGGCCGCGGAGGATGCCCCTCAGCTTCTTCGACCTCCTCCTCCTCCTCCTCCTCCTCTTCCTCCTCCTCCTCCTCCTCCACCCTTTGTCCTTATAGATAATTCCTCCCTGTCGCGCCCCCAGAGGTGTCGGTAGGGCGGATCGGTCGTTTCGCTTGAGACTTCCTCATCAATTATGATTCTGCAGAGTGAAATTTGCAACAGTTTCACGGATGGAGGGCGGGTCCGTCTCGAAATATGGTTCGTCTTAAAAAGGTTTGCGCACCAGCTTCACGGATGGAGGGCCGACCTTTTTCACGTAGTGATTCTCGCTTTAGCGCCGCGCAAATTCGTTGTGAAAGCTTGCGACCGCTTCAAAGACGGAGGGCGAATCCTTGTCAAAACGTTGTTCTCGCTCTTGCGCCGCGTACAGGTGTCGTTTGCATCAGCTTCAAAGATCGAGGGTGGTTCCTTTTCAAATCGTGGCCCTGACCTTAGCGCCGCGCACATTCGCTTCAAACGTTTGCAGCAGTTTTTTCAAGGGCTCGTATGTTTGAAGTCCCACGACCGGTTCTGACACGGTTTAGAATTGCCAGGACGCAACAGTCACGTGGCTTCGTGGAGCTGAAGTCCCAGGGACGGTGTTCTAGCACGACTTAGGCCTGTCCGGACTCAACAATCGCGTTGATCCGCTAAGTCTGAGATCTAGGATTTGTGCTTTGGCACGATTGAGGATTATCAGACGGTTGTCTTCTAATGGACCACTCCCCGCAATGAAAATGAATTCGCGCAGGGGCTCGTAAAAAGGGAACTTGGAGAGAGGGTTGGTTGTAATATGTCGCGAGAGGGCGTCGCGGCCGTTTTGCGGGTCCAGGTCCGTCGGTTTCGGCCCCAGGCCGCTTGCACTCAGGGGAGGTTTACTAAAGGGAGGTTTGTCCACCGCCGACTGTGGCGGACGCCGCAGTGTTTCGCAGTGCCCAGCGTGGGCCCCGCCTCGAAGCACGGCGCGAGGAGGTCGTCCCAAGCCACTCGCCTTTCTGCGGCCGCGGCAGAGTTCGTGCTTGTCGTCAGGAGCATGCTGCCCTAGGAGCACCTTTCCTTCGTCGTGGGGGATGGCTCCAAGTTTTTCCGTGGCTGTTCGTGAGGCTGAGCTCCCAGTACGTGCGGTTCTTCCTGGGCGCATGGATCTTCCTGTGCGTCCTTCTCGTGTTGGTGCTCGGGTTGGCGCTGCTGCTGCCTCCGGCGGTGGGCCCGAGGAGGAGGAGGAGGAGGAGGAGGAGGAGGAGGTGGAGGAGGAGGAGGAGCTTGGTGATGTCCTGGAGGTCGGGATGTTGCGTCTCGAGAGGGTGCTGGAGGAGTCCCTGCCGCGGCGTCCGAGGATGGCGTCGAGCTCCTGGACGAGGAGGTGGTCTCCGAGCCCGACCATTTTCTGGGTGGTTCGCATGGTCCATGCTGGCGCTGCCAAAGCTAGTCGCGGAGGTGCCGGTCTCCCTGATGCCGAAAAGCTCATCATCTCGGGCAGCAAGAAGGTTGCGGTGCTGAGGGCCCATGACGTGGCCTCCGTGGTGGTCTCGTGCCTGCACCCTGGCCCCATGTTCTTAGTGGGCGGGGCCACGGTCGACGCGTGCGGCGGCCGCGGCTACTTGAGGCTGACGGACCGTAGTGGTTGGGTGCCTACGCACTCGCGCAAGGGCTAGGCCAAGAAGGTAGTGACCGAGGTGGAGAGCG